TGGCCCTTACTTTTTCTTTTTCTTTTTCTTTTTCTTTGTCTTTGTCTTTGTCTTTTTCTTTTTTTTCTTTTTTTTTTTTTTTAGTTCATGATGAGAGCATATGCATGCGCGAAAGAGAGAGAAGCACCTTCTATAGGGCTGTTCCATACTGTGATCCCTTTCCCCAGTTTTCTAGCCTGCTAAGATCCTGAGTATACATGCATGTGCCTGGTATGTCTTCAGGCCAGGAAATCAGACTAATTGGTATGTGACTTCCAGCTCCGCAGTCCAGTATGCTATGGACTGGGTTGCAGAGCCTGGGCCTCCTGTTTACTTTCTATGTTCCTGCCCTTGGTGATCTCATCTAGTTTCCTGGCTTATATATAACTCCCAATTTTATAACAGCCATATCACTCCCCTAAACTCTAGGCTTAGTTCTCCATCATGCTTCCAGATACCTTTACCTGAATGTCTAATAGACATTTCAAAACTAACATGTCCAGGGACCAGCAGTTGGTGTAATGGCTATGTCGCTAGACTCCTATGTAGTTGACCGTGGTTCGCATCCCGGACCCAGAGGCTTAAAACTTACGCCGGGCACATGTGCATGCGTGCCCAGGATCCCAAGAGGAGAATGGAGGAGAAGGGATTGAGGCGTGGCCATCCCCCCTGGGGAGTGATTTCTTGCTTTCTGTCTGTCTGGCGAGCGCATGCGCCCCATGGCAAAAACCTCTCCAAAAAAAAAAAAAAAAGAAAGAAATAACATGTCCAAAACCAAACTACTGACCTTCCTTGCCATCCCCATTCCCTCTCCCACCTACAAACCTGTTCTTTCTACAGTCTTCCCAGTTTTAATTAATGTCAGTTCTTCTAGTTGTTCAAATAAATAAATAAACATGTTTTAAACCCTTAGGTTCATTGACATCTTTTACACAAACCCCACATATCTGTCCCATTGACTATACTTTCAGAAGTTGTCCAGAATCTTACCACTTCTTACCCTTTACCTGCTTAACAGTTGGTTCATGCCAGTATTATCATCTAGATTATTTCAATACCCTCCTTTCTGGTCTTCCTCTTCTATTCTTGTCCCCTGTAGTCTGTTCTCATCATAATTGCCAGAATGATCTTGTTAAAAAGTAGGTCAGATCATTTTGTGTGTCTGCTCAAAACTTCAATAGCTTTCCATCTCACTTTGGTAAGAGATAAAGTCTAATACTACAGACATTCTTACTCTTGCTAATATTCAAGACATGCTCCCATCTCAGATCCTTTATATTTGGTATTCCTTTTGCTTTCTTTCTCTGTAACACCCTCCCCACCATAAACACACTTCCTCATGATACTGAACTTACTGAAGAGGCCTGGCCTGTTATCTCATAGAATGATACATATTATGAATTTCTTTGCCTCCTCATGGTACTAACTTATTTCTCTATGTCCTTATTTCCCATAATTGGACAGGATTGATTAAAGTATTTGGGAGGAGAAAATATTTATTTGGGGACAAAAACTCTTTAGATGATACTACAATCTTCATATTGCATCATATCAGGACATATGTATCATCTAATTGTCCAATGATTAGTAATGCTGAGTTTGACTTAATGTATGAGTGGTGACTGTCTGATCCCTCCATTATAAATGTACATTTGTCCATTCGTGACTCACAATAAGCTAAAAGGTGAATTTGTATTTTAACTCTGTGATTTTAAGAATACCTTTTAGCTGTGGTGGAACTGTTTTTGTTTTTGTTGTTGTTTTTAAATAAAACCTGTTTTGGCTATCCAGTGTATAAGACAAATCAAAGTTAAACTGTCCTGACTACAGTAGGCAATGCCTAGTTTTAGCAGCTTTCAGGGAACTGCGACAGGATAGTTTGTAACCCAGAGCCTGCCCAAACCCTTGAGGAAGTTGAGGGCTAGAAAGAACACATGAAGTCCTTTCTTTTCTTTACTCATGATAAAGAGTGTGTGTGCACGTGTGAGAGTGGAGGAGAGAGAAAAAGAAAGAGAGATGAGCATCCTGCCTAGGGTCTGATCACGTCATGATCCCTCTCCTCCAGTCCTCAAGCTTCTTAGGCACTCATGCATGTACCTGGCGTGTTTTGAGGCTGGCCAACCTAGGAATTTGAACCATTGTCTCCACACTGTGTCTAACTTCTCCTGAGCAGCACATTACCTGTGTATTTCAGAGCCAGCGCAACACATGAAGTCTTAAAGCACCCCCTAGCGTCTCATGAGAAAGGCTCAGAGCACCTCTATTAGAGCACATTTGGGAGCTGTTAACTTCCTTGGAAAGCTGTAGTTGTAAATGATCATTAGAACAGCACTTGGTTTTCCCTGGCAGTCCACCACTGTTTTTAGTTGTCTGAGTGCTTTCTTTGATATTCTATCTGTTCTGCAGATGTGAAGATTTGAAATTACTTTTTTTAGTCAGTTGGGTTGCAGCCTTTTTTTTTTCCTCTCTTTTGGAAATTCTTCATCCACAAAGAATCCCAGATTCAGACGTTATTCATCTGTGTCTGGACACGAAAATCTCGTGAGTTTCTGTCTGTCTTAACCTCCTTCTACCTTAAGAGTATTGAAAATGCTGCCACATTTAAAGTAAGTTTTATTATTTGCTTGCTGTTTGCTTCCTAATGTACCTTCTCAGAGCTGAATAAGTAAATGATTATATCCATATGATGTGTATAACTTGTCTAATGCATATTTCTCTTGTCAATGAAAGGCGTTTCTTTGAATTAAGTATAAAAAACAGATAAAACAAATTAAATTATAATTTTTTAAAAATACACAAAAATCCCCTTTGTGTGTGTGTGTGTGTGTGTGTGTGTGTGTGTGTGTTTGAAGCCAAAGACGATATTTACAAAGATGTTCACATTAATGCTATTTCTAGGTATTACCATTATTTTCTTTGGATATTTTTCTCTTTATCTTATGTTCTCTTTTTTCCAGGGTATCCATAGCCAGTATAAGTTATAAAAATTAATAACTTCGGGAGACTAGCAGGTGGCAGGGTGATTAAGGGCTCTGGACTCCCACATGGCCAACTGTGGTTCAAGTTTCAGACCTGGTAGCTTGCTTTCTCACTCTCTCACTCTCACTCTGTCCCTCTCTGGTCAAATTAAAATAAATGAATGAATAAATAAGTAAATAAAGGTAAATTAAATAATTCTATTTTAAAAATAATAACAACTTTGTTTCAGACTGTGTTAAAGGTAATTTCAGGTTCCTCCTCGTCTTACTACTATCCTATACCATTCTTTGGATCCTTCTCATATTATCTCATTCACAAGTTTTCGTCAGACCTCGTGTTTCTGTTTATTTTATTCCAGATTCCTGGTCATCCTCTAGCATTGCCCAGTTGTCTCTTTAGAACTCTGATCACTTGTACCAAAATAAACTTGTCAGGGAAGGAAAGGAGGATATAAAAGTTGTATGCCAAAAGGAACTATCACTAGAATGTGATTTCTATCTATGTCTTTAGGGTCCAGGAGAGGTTCAGTAAATATCTCTTGATTGAATTGATCTGCTGTGTTTGGTGTCTCATTTCTTCTGTCTCATAAATTCCTATAGAACAAAAACTTTTTCTGTTATAACACACTAAACATTTTGGGTACTTAATATAAATTAATAAAGTATGTAGGGACAGGTGTTTTTAGACAGGGTCTCACTGTGTCATTATTCTCCTGCCTTAGCCTCCTGAGTAGCTGGGATTATATGCATGTTTCACCATACCTGGCTTTTTAGGGTGACTCAGGAATTGAACCTGGGCTTTACATGAGGCTTTAGCCTGTCAAGCATCAGTGTTCAGTGCATGTTGCCATGGCTGGGCCAGATTAAAGTCCTGTAAAAATATATATATCCATAATTTTATCAATAAAAATAAATTTAGGATCTTTTTCCAACTTTGACCAGAATCGATGTTTACAGAAGGGTATATAGGAAGACATAAGATTTAAAGACAAAAAAGACTTATGTTCAAATGCTGCTCATAGTTTTGTGATTATGGATTAGTTATCTAAGCCCCCTGAGCTACCTTCATTTATAGCCAAACTGATTCTCTTCTGGACTCTATAGAAGCTTCCACCTGGTCTGCATAGCTCGATCATGTTTCCCAAGCTTGTCTTCCCCAGAGCTACCCAGAGTGATATACCTACAGTGTAAATATGACCTTGTCTGTCTTCATCCCCCACTTTTCATTCTCCCCCAGTTTATTACTTCTCAGGGGCTCTCTGATGCTGTGTTGCTTCTGCCCCACCCCTTCTGCTCTGGCTTCTGGAAGCCTGTGTTTAGACTTGACACTTGAATAATGTGCCAAACTCCTGATAGCTTCCCATATATACCATGTTGCCTTCTGCTTTGTTCCCAGGGCTCTAAGGTGCTTTCCCTTCCTTCCTTCCTTTGGTGAACTACTACTGATCTACTCTAGGACTGGGCTTAGCAGTCCTCTTTGCTTGGGTGCCTTCCTTGACCTAAAGGTCAAATACCCTACTTTTCTGCCCACTCACTTGTGACCTGCTTGAAGCAAAACTTTATCTTGAAGAATACCTGATCTAAAAAGACTCTCAAATATTTATTAAACTGTGTTGTGAAGTATATATGTTCTTTTGAACTGTCCAAGTGATTTTTATGTAATAGAATGTAACTTGATTTTTATATGATTGCTTCCAAAATAAGAATACTTAGAAAGAAGAAATATGTAAATTAAAGTAACTTAAAATACTACCAGCTAGCAAGAAACAGTTGTTAATGTTTTGGAATATATAAAAAAAATTTTTTAGTTACATAGTAAAAATTTAACCCCCAAATTTTCATTTTGGAACCAGTTCTGGGGGAAATCAGTAGCTTTGCAGATTATATGCATTAAAAATTAATATCCTTTATTATGATTCACATATCAAGTAATACAAAATAGCTCTCTGGTAAAATACAGCTGTTTCTTAATTCAAACCAAGAAAAATATGCTTTTCTCATGTTCTCTATACCTCAGACCCATCTTTCATATTGCTTTTCCAGAAAAGATGTTGAAATTTCAGTGAGTGAAGTGACTCGACTAAGTTACGGAGCAGGTCAGTGCAGAAGCAGAAGGGTCCAGGAGGCTCCTGACTGCCCGCCCACCAGGTACTTTTTCCCCTCAGCAATATTTCCTGGCTCTCCACTAGAGTAAAAATAAAAGTACAGTTTTAAGCACTTCCTAATTCCTCTATGCTTAAATTGGTCCTACTACCGAATTGGTTTTACTAAATCACTCTTAGTCTCATTAAGACATTAGTCCTAAACCTAACATATTAATTTTTTTTTCATACTCATGTACAAAATTCTTTGAACATCAGAAAAAATCTTCTCATAAGAGATTTTTTTAATTTATTTTTTCAACTATTTTTGAAGTGAACACACAAATCTCATAACAGTTTTATCTCATAACAATTCTGTGGTATATGTTTTGTATCCCTCTAAGCTGCCCTTTTGGAACCAGTTTCCATACTGAGTCATCCACCAAAGATTGCCTGTATTTTCCAGGCAAATAATAGTTTTATTATTTCTAAATGACTCATGAATTCTGAATCATCATACCTTGTTGTACTCTGTTAAATAAAAAAATGTTTTCAAGATACTTTCTTATAATTTCTTCAGCTCTTAGTCTTCAAGTGACTTGTTTAAGTGGCCTGGATATTCAACCAGTTTTTTCTTGTGTCTATGATTTATGCTGATTATTTCTTCTTGAACTCTTTCACTGGAATAAGCAATAGAATTTCTTTATCTTGTATTCTCTATTCCAGATGTTTCCTGAAATGGAACAAATAAATGGTAACATAAAAATATGTATAACATCATTCTTTATTGTTCATGATTGTATTTATGTTGTTTAAGGTTTTATTCATTTCCCAAATTTCTCCATGAAATAAAGGAAAATGCAATTAAAATTAGTAGGCCATCTGGTAGTGTGGTGATTAAGATGACTGGATCCATAGGGCTAACTGTGCAGTTCAAGTCCTGGACTTGGCAACTTGAGAAAAATGCTAAGCACATATGCTTGTGTGCCCAAAATCCCAATGGGAGAATGAAGGAGAAGGGGTTGTGGCATGACAATCCCCCATGGGGAGTGATTTCTCATCCCGCCCCCCCTGAGCTCATACACCCTGTAGCAAATTAAAAAAAAAATTTGCATTAGCATAAAAAATGAAATATTTGGCAATGTAATCCAACAGTATTGAAAAATTAAAGAGCATCTAAATAAATATGTTATGTTCATAGATTGGAGACTTGCTGTCAAAATCTCCATTGTCAAATAGAGATTTTAAATTAAGTAAAATTCCAATCAGAATCCCAGCAGGCTTTCTTTGTCCAGGTTGTCAAAGAACCTAAACATAAAAGCTGAACCTAATGAACTACAAAAAAATAAATAAAAATAATAGAAGAGAAGAATCTTGATGGCCTTGGGACAGGTAGAGATCTTAGGACAGAATGAAAATATATTAACTGTTAAAAATTGATTAATTGGACAAAAAATTATTTTTAGTAGGATTAAAACCTCCTACTCTTCAGAAGTCATTGCTAAGAAAATGGAAAGAGAAGCCATCGACCTGGAGATATCTGTATCCAAAATATATAATGAACTCTTAAAATTCAGTAATAAAAGATAGTCCAAAAGATTTAAATAGACATTTAACAAAAGATACATATATATGAATTTCTAGTAGGTATATGAAGAAATACTCAACATTATTAGTCACCACAGAATTCAAATTAAAGCCACAGTGGGACACCACTTGACACTAGACAGCTAAATGTAAAGAAACTGGCAAATATCTGAAAGGATGTACAGTCACTAGAGCTCTCAAGTGTTGCTAATGAGTGTAAAATGGTAAGAACTACTTTGGAAAGCGATTTTATAAGCTCTTGTAAAGTTAAATGTACACTTACCCAGGATTCGGTAATGCTATTGCTAATTATTACCTAAAAGAATTAACACATACCTAAAAAAAGACTTGGATATTCATAGCAGCTTTAATTTGCAATAGCCCAAACTATTAATAGAAGCAATCCAAATGCCCATCAGATTTGAGTAAATAAAACAAATTTTGAGTATTCATACAGTGAAATACCTATTCCACATTACAAAGGAATGTACAATGTATACATTCAGTAATATGGATGAATCTCAAACCCTGTGCTGAGTAAGAAGAACTAGACAAAAAAGAAGTATGTATACTGTATGGTTACATTCACATGAAGATCTAAAACAGACAAAACTGTTGTATAGTAACAGGAATCATATCAGTAGATGTTCAATATTGTGTGTGTGATTGGGGGGATTGATTGGGAAAGGGCAAGGGATAGTTTTAGGGTGATAAAATGTCTTTTAGGGCAATGGTTGCATAGTTCTTGTCAGATCTCATTAGACTTTACACTTAATATGATTTTTTGGTGTGAGCGTGTGTGTGTGTATGTATATATATATATGTGTGTGTGTATGTGTATATATATATATATATATATATATATATATATATATATATATATATATATATATATATATATATATATATATATATATATATATATATATATATATATATATATATATATATACACATATATGAGAAAAACACCAATAAAGTTGATTTAGAATAAAAGCAAGTCTCTAAAAGTTGAGAGGAAGCTGTGTGTTGGTGGGCAACATTTATCAGTTAGTGGATTTCACTATAGGGTGATTATGTAACTGGACAAAATTTCTATTTCTCCTGGTTTCAGGTGACCTGGACCTAGGCAAGGGAAAGCAGGTGGTGGGTTTATCATTCAGTATGTAGACCTCTACTCAATTTTCCTTTTTTTAAAAAAATAAATATTTAAATTTATTGTTGTTATTCTTTAATTTGACCAGAGAGAAAGGGAAAGTGAGAAAGCAAGTTGCCAGGCCCAGGACTCAAACTGTGGTTGGCCATGTGGGAATCCAGTGCCACAGCTACCACATCATCTGCTGGCCCCTACTCAGATTTCCTTTATTTTCAGTCCTTTACCATCCACTTGTGTCTGATGCCCCTGTTGCTGGTTCTTTTCTGGTAATTTTCTTCCAGTCTTTTTTTTTCTTTTTTGATTGCCAGAGGGCACATGCACTTGCTTACACGTGTGTGAGGGAGAAAGTACATCCCAAATGGGATGTGTTCATGCAATCCCCCCTTCTCTACTTTTCCACCCTGTCAGTATTTTGGGAGTGCACACACATCTGCCTGGTGTGTTTTTCAAACCACCAGGGCTGCATTCAGCCATGTGGGATCCAATTCCTTTAAACACTAGGCTATGGAACCAACATCTTCAGCAAAGTGAAAGAAAGATGATTTTCTGAGTTTGTCAAGTCAGGGTAAAGGGGTCTAACTATTCCTTTGCAGATTTTCAAGCTACCTCCATATGTACAATCCTCTACCCTCTACCCTGTTTCTTTGGTACCTGGTACTGACAAACTTTAGCCTTTGTTAGGTTGTGCAAGATGAATTGGTTTTCCTGTCATCAGTATTACTACTCTGCTAAATCATTTATCATTCCTACTTCAGTTTTCTGTCTTCATATATAGCAACTTGGGTTTGAAGGTGTCCTCTAGATTTTTGACAATCTTTTTTTTTGAGAAGTTTTCGCTATAGGGCGCGTGCGCTCGCCAGACAGACAGAGAGAGACACAGAGACAGAAAGCGAGAAATCACCCCCCAGAGGGTATGGTCATGCCGCAATCCCTTCTCCTCCATTCTCCTCTGGGGATCTTGGGCACGCACGCACACGCACCCGGCGTGAGTTTTAAGCCACCGGGTCCAGGACGCGAACCGCGGTCGACTACGTGGGAGTCCAGCGACATAGCCATTACGCTAACTGCTGGTTCCCTCCTCTAGATTTTTGAAGATGGAGTTCTTACTGTTTAGAGGAGACCTTAAAACTGTAAAACCCATCCTGTTCATTCTCAACTTCAGTAATACCAAGCTCCTCATAATTCTCCAGCACCCAAGGCCTTTCATACCTCTTTGCCTTTGTAGAATTTCTTTTTTGCTTGTGATATCTAGCCCAGTCCCTTCTTTAATCTGATAAGGCTCTCATCTTTCAAAATCCAATTCCTCTCCATCTTAACTTTTCTTGTCTGCTTGTGCCTTTTTTCACAACAGCAACACTTCATCAAGAATTACCATATTTATGGCAATTTATTATTAAAGAGTTTATTATGAAATTTTCCAGGAGCTACTGGAAAGTACTTGTTCTAGAGTAGTAATCTGCTTAAAGTGGAAGTGATAGTAAGTGTTCAATAAATCCTTGCTGAATAAAGTCTGAAGATGCATATGAACCACTTAGTCAGATATTGGGAAAACAGACTTTGGTCGTTTTGGTCTGTTTAAAGCAGAAGATACAAAAGGCATAAGGATGAGGCGGGCAGCATGCAACAAGACCTGAAGTAGAATATGTGTAAACATTCAGTGTAATTATAATTTCCAAAGAAATCTGTTGAATCAGGTATAGGAAGCAGAATGTAATATATTTTTAGACTAATTGAAAAGTTTTATCATATTTCATCATATCTAAAATTGTAAAACACTCATTTCATGTGTCATTAAAAGTTTTAAAAACATTAAACTATAATATATTAGGTCATCAGGAAAGTCCTGACGTATTTTTCTGTGTAAAAACATGCAAAAATCGGGAACCAGCAGTTAGCGTAATGGCTATGTCGCTGGACTCCCACGTAGTCGACCGCGGTTCGTGTCCCGGACCCGGTGGCTTAAAACTCACGCCGGGCGCGTGTGCATGCGTGCCCAAGATCCCAAGAGGAGAATGGAGGAGAAGGGATTGCGGCGTGACCATCCCCCCTGGGGGGTGATTTCTCGCTTTCTGTCTCTATGTCTCTCTCTGTCTGTCTGGCGAGCGCACGCGCCCTACAGTGAAAATCTCTCCAAAAAAAAAAAAACATGCAAAAATCATGACTTTCCCGATGACCCGATAATTCTTACCCTTTAGAACTAATTTTACTTATTGAAAGAACTCTTAAATTCTGTATCACCTTGCACATACATAAATAAAATAGAGGGGAAATAGTTGGTCAAAATATTCCTAGAAAGCCCTAGAATTTCTTAAATTCAGATTCTG